CACACACACACACACACACACATACACACAACACACACACACACACACACACACACACACAGGTTAGTAAAGCCAAAAAGGAAAAAGCAATGGTGAAAACACAGTTGAAAGATGCTAAGCTGTAAGTGTGCAGAACATACGTAATAGTGATGGAAGTACAGCAGATGACAATTTGATGACGAGGAGAGAATAATTGTTGAGTGTAGTATCCGGAAGAATGTTTCAATTGATCATTCAGTGTTATAATCGAGCCTTTATTTCCCATGGAACCGTGAACCTAAAGAAATGACTTATCTAAAAAAGTAAACAATTACTTGTTTTTTTGAATTTCATAAGTTAACATTTTCAGGCCAAATTTGCGGAAATGTTCGCAGATTCTTTTCCTTCCATAAAATGCGTTATATTTGAAAGCTTGATAAGCAATTATTATTATGCTGTATGACGCCAATAACTCCCGATAAGAATTGCAAGTTGCTCTTAAATCATTTTCATGACAGTTAACTTGAAAAAACTTGTAAACTACTGAACGAAAAATTATGCTCAAGTTATTGAAAGTTTAAAATTTCAGACTAAAAATTGCAATGCAAACAAGCAGTTTAATGAATTCCCTGTAGCTTTTAATAATCATTAATAATCGTTTAATTATTTTTTCCTTTTGAAATAAACACAATTAACAACAGGACCGAGCTGGTTGGATTTTTTCTTCCACGAATTTTAAAGCGAAATAACATTAACACACCATAACATTGTTTATAGAAATTGATTTGTTAGATATTGGGCAATTTTATTTTGGTATTTTAGTGAAGTGGACCAACTGACCATTTGGAGATAAGTGTAATTATACCTTTAAATTGAATTTCATTTCTCCCACATATAATAAATTGGTCCCTATACATTGAATATCACACCAAAAACGATACATTGAATTCGTCAATTGAAATTTGAAATTTATTACAAGTATAGTAAAGAATTATGATAGAGAATTAAAAGAGACAATTGAAAATATTTTAGATCTTTTTCTATTGTTGGGATTGGTCTGCAACACACTAGTAACAATATAGGAAAAGTTGAAGTAAGAGTAAAGTTGAAGTAAACTGGATATCGACAATAAATTCTGTAAATAAAGATGGAGTACTGCTTGACAAAGCAGTATTACTATGTTTTTAAGGAACAGATAAACTTTTATCAAAAAGCAGGAGGTTTTTTCTATTCAACTGTTTTCATTCAAAAATTACCACGAACTAAGTTAAAAGCTCAATTTTTAAATAGAAAGTACTAACAGCTAATTCAGTCTTTCACTTGAATAAATGAAAAGTAAAATCGAAATTAATTGCTATTATTACCAAATAAACCATCTCGTATTGATGAAATTATTGAATTTGAATGCATGATTGAGCCAAAACCAGGCAATCACTGCCAACCACGTTATCGATGCTTGTGAAGCATTTAAGGATATTTCCTAGAATTAAAAGTAGATAGTTTTCTAGCATCAAAGAAATCTGCTTTCCTCAATACCATTTAAAAAAAAAAATCTTTTGGCAATAACACAATTTCTGGTAATTAGTTAATGAAATACAACATAGCTATGTTGAGCTGGCTTAATTTTGGAAAGTTGCAGTTTCAAGTACGGAGTTAGATTTGAAATGAATTCTTGCAATTTTAATTCTTCTTTAAATGACAAAGCTGAATATTTTATTAGATTACTATTTCTTTGTCATTTTACTCGGAAATTTGAATGATTTTTGAATTTTCTGCATAGGATGAAAATTCATGACGAGTTTTCTAATTATTTTTGGGAAGATTCATGGGTGATTTAACAACTTGCAACTTTTCGGCATGAGATATTTTCCGCCGGGTGAACATGTGAAACATCATAGAAACAAAGCCAAGTAAAGCTGCTACTGCAGTGAACAATGCAATTGCTTTGTGAGATAGGAAACTCAGTAGGCATAATAATAGGATTGCAGTGCATGTTAAACACGACTGGAATGAAATCGGAAAATTTGTCGAGTTTAGGGTTTAAATTTGATTCCAAAATCCACCAGTCTATTTTTTAACTGGAAGGACGACAACTGTTCGGCTTATTACACGTAGTAAATCAATGATGATACTGATTTTTCCAGAAAGACAATTAATGATAGCAAAAAAAAAACTCACCTCTTCAAAAATAATTAAAATATGAAAGAAATACAAAACCAGATCCAGGAACACACTCCCTTTAGGCCTCAAATCTTTTATTTTCTTCAAACAACCACAAGCCATATCTAATCTGATTTAATATTCAACATGTCGCATCTTCTTTTAAATTTGTTGCTAAAATGCAAATTTGGCATCTTTACTGATTAAGATGAAAAGTGACTCCATACATCTGATATATATATATATATATATATTTCAATATCTAGTATAATTTTATGCTTAAAAGTCAATTGATAAGTCTATCATAGTGGATTAAGCATTTCTGTGCATGGGAAGATTATTGTTAACATTTCCTCCACTAATGACACTTCCATATATTTCCTGCAAAGAATAAATTTTTATTCATAAATTCTTAAAAGTTTTATCCATCCTGAGAAAAGGGAAAATGGAGGGAGAAGGGTAATCGATGATCTTTGAGATCCTATATGATCATAGATATGCCTCCAAACAGATCTATTTTCTTTACCTTAGAAATCTTAAATAACACTACTGTTTGTCACTTCTGATACCGTCACCCAAATAAATACTTATATGACAAATGTTGCGAGATCTATTCTATCAGTTGTTCCCCAATGTCACAGCGCAAGAGTTATTTTGTAATATCCAAAATCTTAAACAGCAGGTAAACTTCCACTCTTCAGTTCTTATTGTTAATAACCCTTATAATTCCAGTAGGGTTATCATCTTTTCACAACATTTTTAGGCTAGCTTTTACAGTCGCATATCTTTTCGTCGTTATCGTGGAACCAAATTATATTATTTTTAAATTTAAACTTGATTTTACAGATAATCTCAGCACAAGTTAGACTAGTTATCCTGAAAGAAACAGACTTGGAAGAAAAACGTTTCGTTCTTACACGAATTGCTGCACTGCAAGCGGAAATGGAACAACAATTGCTTTTCTTCGTTGTTGCAACGAGACATGATGAAGTACCTCGTTTTCGCAATTGGATTGAAAAGCAAGACACGACTTACGGACCTTTATATGCAAGAACATTGTAAGTTACCATTCAACTGGGCTTCCACGCCTAATACCTCGAGTTCCCTCCACGATTCTTTCAACGAATTTATGAAATAGTCTGTTAATTGATTTTCAGATATTTAATGCACTTCGAATTGCGTTGTTTCAAAGATTTTACAAAGGCTTTTCTTTCAATTTCTTGTCTTTTCATAATCCTTTTCAATCAGTCATATAAATGATATTCAAATGATTCACCGAAAATTCCAATAACCTTACATTACATTGCGCTATTTCTGGATTAGATAATTCGCTGAGAATTTGATTGAAACTTTTTGTCTTACTGCAGACTGCTCTCAAGATAAACCGAGTTTAGATTAGACCTACCGAATTCAGAGTTCCCAAGATCCGCAAGAATCATATAGTATGTACTGTTTTAGCAAACGATGGAAAGGTGAACAGAATTGGAGACCCAATTTGTTGTACCCACCCTATCTTCAACACCCACCTCTTATCCCACTGTATCTGAGATATCCATCATCTCCTGGAATCATTTTTTTCGGTGGTGTACAAAACCAACTTGGTATGGGTTACAGGTTTTCAGATAAAGACGCCGTGAGAAACTCCAATATACCATTCCTCCCTAACCCATCGGCAATAGTTCCTCCAGATATTATGGATTCGAGGTCATCTACGCCACCAGAACTTCCAGATCTTTTTGCTGATTTTCAATTACCGTTACAGCTTTCTTCTTCCTCGGAGAATGAAAGTACTGAAACTACGTAGATTATGGCACTGAAATTGATGAGATCATCTGAATGCAGAAACGAAACTTCAACCAATAACAATATCAGTTGCGACGTGTTAGTGATTAACTTTATTCCGTGATATGCATACAACCATGAATGAAGAAACTCTTACGTTTTACGGTCATTTCAAGCGATGTTTAGTGTGGTGACATTTTTTTACTATTTCCTTTGACGTCATTCTTTTCATCTAATTTACTTTTAAACTAATTCTATTTCCCTGATAACCTTCACCTAACATTCAACATTAAACAAATATGATTTGTGAAAGGAATATTTTTTTGCATATTCGATATTAATTTGCAATATGCTCAGTAAGTTAATTCACTCACAGTACTTTGTCACGTATTAGATCTTAATGGCATTTTGTATTTAAGAATCAAACCACTACAATCCACGTCCTTTCATTAGAAATCTTAACTACTACTCCTCCGAATTTCAAATTACAGCAGTTTTTTTTTTTCCCGGGAAATCCATTGAGAAGTTGAGGTGCTATATTATTCATCATTGCTCACAAATTTTAATGACAAATGACCCATATCTCCAAGAGCCCAATAAAATCAAAAATATTGACAAGGTATGCGGCTATTCTATATTTCCATATAACGGTTATTCTCATGTATCATTAGGAATTATATCTCTTGTCAATCTGAAAGAATCTAACCTTCCTATCTACTATATATTAATCACGTATGTGTAAAAATTCATACGTGAAGGTCCCCAGGTCCCCAATATGGTCTGTTACAACTTCACGACATAAAAACATGTGACAACTCCACTGCGGGACCATTACGGCTGATAATATCCCCGGATAATACGTGAAAGCTTCATACCAAAAGAATGCTAAGCTTCCCGAATTATCCCAGGTTTATTAGTCTTCAAAACGGTTCAGCTCCTCTTGAAACAAATATATTTGGAATTAACAGTGTGAGTGCACTGACCTTGAATCTCCTCTCTGATGTATCCACGTATTCTTGCTTTTGCAACCTCTTCTGCTAATGAAATGTGAAATATTTATTTTTAAAGCTTCTTGATAACTGACTCATGAAGTTAAACTCCCTGAGCCTCGAGTTAACTACTGCTTATATTATTTGCCAATGTATAATTATGCACTCTAGTCAATAAACAAATTAAGTCGCTTATTTCACTTGTAACTGCCGCATTTGGAAATCAAGGGAAACATTTTTTTTTTGAGACATGCAGTTTGTTGGAAAATAATACTCCCGAAAACACTTAAGCTGCATCTTCACAAGAGCTGAAAATAAAGAATGCAGACAGATCGTTGCTATACCAGATCTCACTTCGACGTGACTTCTTTCGAGTGCTTCCAAGTTCCTTTCGAAAAAATTAGAAATGACCGCAAGTGTATATTTATAAGCCAAGCAAATACAATCCGTTATCAAACTCCGACTAAATCTTTTTATCTTGAAAGAATGATACAGCATAAACAAAATCCGTGTCTAATCAACTTCCATCTTTCTTATAACCATGAATTAAAAAAAGGCATTTCAAGGAAAAGTGGAAAAGATACAGCTCAACCAAGATTATCCATAAAATGGAACAAGTCTGATGAGATCAAAACTTACACGAAACAAAGCACTTATTCGTACTAGGCGGACAAAATAAATGAGAAACAATAATATACAATGTGATCCAAATGTCCTACGCCAATTACTTACAATATCACGACGACACTTTCTATGTAGAAAACTTGCAAAGGCAGTGCCATGAAAATATCAAATATTTCCTTGATCTTGCTTGTTTTCCCAATTCTCACATCTCTGTCTTCTGTCTTTCACCGCAAGCTTTGAGAACCATGAATGTACAATTCGAAATGTTACCATTCAAATGCATTTCCATGCTGTGGCACTTCATTACATAGGTGTAATTGAAAATATTAATCTCGTCACAAATCTACTCAATTAATAAATATTCCTAGTAATAATCATCAGTTTTATCACTGATTTAATCCTAAAACAAAAATTCTTTCCTTCAACTTTTTACAAAGGCATACATGATGATGCCATTCCTGATGGAGATACCCATAAACAAATAGAAAACATGGAAAGGCCAAATTAATAACAATGAAAGTAACAGCGACTGCCTGCCTTATTATTGAATATATCAATGAGTAGCTGAAAACTAAAAAAATATATGATTTTTAACATAAACATAGCAATATGTTGTCCTGAATACGTAGATGCTAACTACAAACATAGCTATTTCGAATATCTGTATGCATTATATTATCTGTATACATTATACTACACAATCCTTTTTGGTACAGGAATAAGCATGGAATATGGACTAAAATTAGTCTTAAGCTGTTTAGTTCAGCAGAGAGAAGATAAACTTGCTTGAGCTTCCCTCAAAGTAGCTACCAAACTTGTTGAAGCTGTTGATTTCGACTTAAAATTGAGCGAACATCAGATGCAAACCGAAGTGCATCCAAAAATGGTAGTAATGCTAACAAACACGTGTCTGTTGGATCCGAAAACCAAGATCGTATTGGTATTGCATTTTCTGAAAATATTTCGGAAATATAGGCGGAGTTCCACAGGGAATTTAACTTTTCAGCCAATTGTTTCAGCACAGTGCATGTTTTTGCATTTCGTCACTGATTTTGATTTCAGTTTCTCATGTCTTTTTTTGATTCCAGTTCTTATGTTTTATATTTTAAAAGTTTCAGATTCATTAAGTATAGTCGTATGGAATTCATTAGTTTATTAATCTATAAATATTAGAAGAAGAAGGTCCTTGGCCACTGGGTGATGTCAGTAATATGCATGGGACTAGCAGAATAACAGTCAGCAACCATTCTATTTAATGCTTAAGAAGTCTTTCAAGTAAAAATTTAGTTCGCAGAAATCGATTCTAATATGCACTAAATATATGGGGAGGAAGTTATGAATCATGGAACTCGAATTTACGATATAACAGCTTATCATCTACATAAATATACATTATTTGGAAACGTTTCAAATTTGAAAACTTACGAGGAAACTTTCTGTATGCACTGGGAGAATTATCTAATATAAATATCGATGAAAGATCGGCGTGTACAGCAGAAAGATCTTTTGTGTATCCGCCATAATCCATTGTACAATGTTGTCTAAAATATAAAAGAAGCGATATTAATAAACTGCAAGTGGATAAATGACATTATAAACAGAAAATATAAAGTTCAATCATGTTTCTGTAATCTAATGGTTTAAAAAATTGAAAATGTAGAGAACACATATATATAATATTAACACCACACATTAAAGAATTGAAAAAAACATCATTTCCGAAGTCCAAAGTAAACTTTGTCGGGAAAAACTGAAATACCGAAATATTTTTAGTATGAAAATAACAGCAACATTGTAAAAATGTGTAGGTCAACTGGTGTTGTGAAATGCTGTAAATGAACTTGATTATCAAGTTCATAAGAATCTCAGGTAAATGTCGCATATTGTAGAGGACCTCTAAAAAGGATATCATCCAAGTAAATTTAAAACCATAAAGTGGGAAAGAACTAACTAAAAGGACGGTTCTACAGCTCGTTGCCTCTCAATATGATCCACTGGATTCCTAGTTCCTACGACGATACCATTCAAGATATTTCTTCAAAACGTGGAAACAAGAATTCCATATAAGAATGAAGCAGTTTTAGTTAATGAGCCAGAAATACTTCATGGCATGTAGAAATTAGCAAAAATTATGGAAATTAAAAAAGGAAGAGATGGAGAAAAAGCGGCAGATAGAAATACCAATTGGTAAAGTTCTCGACAGACCAATAAATATGTTATATCATCTGGAAATTAACGATGAAGGAAAAACCGAAATTTAGTCAGAAACTCGTGAGAATTCATGCGGAAATCGATGAACATGAGGAATGATGGAATCTATTGCTCAACGAATCAGGAGTGCAACAGACTTAACAACGAAAAGTTAGAACTAAAGACGGTCCGAAATTACGCATACCTGAAGTAACGCCTCTGTAGAATGCCTTTACCATTATCAAGTTTGTCGGCCACCAAACTCCCGTAAATTTCCATGGATGCAGTAAAAATAACTAAATCAAACCACTGGCTAACCATAGAAAGAAAATAATCAACATGAGGTCGACAGTGTACGAAAAATCGGACGGGATGTCGATCGATATTCACCTGTAATTATCGCTTGTGGTTCGGCTTCAGTTACAGAAGGCCAATAATGTTAATCTAACTTAATTTCTAGTAATCACAAGACCTTCAATCCACCTCAATTTTCAATTTCTAACAGGGATTGTGATGGGAGTTAATGTACCAAAAATTATATTGGATCTGCATTGGACTTTTCAAAGACACATATGTAGACTTCCATTATTAAAGAGAAAAAAAAAGATGGAATCATTCAGGATGAAAAGGAATAAAGAAAAGTTGCAGTAATCGCATCAAGTCAGAGCAGGCAATAAAAGTGAAAAAGTTAAGTGGAACAGATAATCTGAAGGCATCTGAGTTTTGGTACAATGCACTACTGCTAAAATTTCCGTAATCGATTTCTTCAAATCACGGGAACTATTCAACCAAGAAATTTGAAACAAACTAAAAGAATCGTTACTCAAACAATGAATGAATTATAAAAGCTTTACTCGTAACACAAAATCAGGTGGTGTACCGGGTTTAACCATGGGACGTATAATACCATCATGGTGTGAATGTATCAATGTTTCATCTAAATCAAGCACCAGAATTTTTCGCTTTACCACACCTGAAAAATTTTCACAGACTGTGGATAAATGGAATGCAGAATGTTCTCCAACCACTACGTTTTATTTCAAATGTATTAGATCCATGTCAAATGCAGAGACAAGTTCCGATATCGGTGGTAAAATAGTTTCCTAGTTATAACTTTAACATCACTGTTAATCACGAAGCAAAAGAAGCACGAGTTAGAACTTACTCAATCGATGTGCTGATAAAGGTGAGAGGGGAACGTATTCATAACGAATAACTTGACGTTTTCTTACCTGAAATGTAAGTCTTGACAGTCCGATTGGTAATTTAACCAGTTATGTATTTTATTTGATAGATTTTAAAACAACGTGTTATGTTTGCTGCAAATCAAGTATAAAGTAGCAACTGTATTCCTAGAATTACCAACTTCTATTTCTTAAGATATACGGGAGACTATATCGCTGGACCGCGAGGCAATGTCCCATTCCGAACGCAGTTTAGTCGATATTCATTACTTGAAATCAAAAATGGAAAGGGCAAAACATACATTGCGATACTGTCTTCGAATGGTATAAGTGATGCAGTTGAACAGACCTAAAGCATAGAAACACAAGGCGGCCAGCAAAGTCTTCATAGCACGAACCACAGCGTTTCGTCCCACAACCATAGTGCCGCTATCCCTTCGACGTTTCATAACCCCTCCAAATTAATACATGTCACACAAATCTACACCATTCTCCCTACCACCCTCCCCCACCTCCAACCCTCAGAATGACAAAACTAAGTCATCTCACGCAACTTCGGATGATACGGATTAACAATTCAGCAATCGGCATAAAGCTTGTAAAACGCGGTAACCAGAATGCAAATAGTTCATACCTTATGTGGGGTTTTTGAATAGTGGATTAGGAAGACATGCAGGATCATAAGGTGGGATGAAATGAATTGGTGATAACCTGTGATCAAGAGGGCTCTTCTAAGTTAGGCCTGCACAAAGACAAGAATTACGATTTACTGAAACTACCAATAAAGTGAACAGAGTAGGAAAAATCTCTGTTTCTTGACTAGTTAGCATACTAATTGCTCTGTCCTATTGTAATTCCCTAAACTATACGTAGGCTTGACCTTACTATATTAAACATCTGGCAAACCTATGTAACATTAAAAAGACCCGATAGGAATCTCAGGACCTGATTCCTTCTGCATCAACTTTTGCATCAATAATCCTCTCGCACTCTTTGCAGCACATCATTTTGTAAATTATGCACTATCACCAATTGAAATTTATTTACCTCGGAAAAATATCGAATAGATTTATCATAAGTTAAGCAGAGTGATGAAAAAGAAATTGCTAAATAATGATATTAGTGTCTTCAAAAGCGCTTATTCATGTTGGTAGGAAATTTCTAAAGAAACTCCAAAGAAGCGGTGTTGACTGATAATTTGGAAAAACATCATTTAAACATAAATAGGTAAAATTCTGTAACCAATTACTGTGGATGATTAGGACAGGCAGACAGTAATTACAATGGAAGGCCAGAATAAACAAAATTGATTGGTATTTCAAGATAACATTCAAAAATAGGAGTTTTGAATTTTGAATCAAAAAGCATTGCGGGTGCCCTCAACAAATGGATGGAGTTTGGAAACAGAGACTGATTAGCTAAACTGATGGAGATACTCTGAAGATGGAAGTTAATCTTGTTGCAAAATAGTTGAAGGGTGCCCAAGTTGTGGTGATCAAAAGATGAAAGTATCAAAGTATCGAAACACCAATTGGGAATGTTCGAATATATCCTGCACTTCTTATGATACTTTCTGTTTTTCAACCAGGCAGCAGTATAAGCCTTTTTGAGCCAATAATTGAGTGTGATTACCACATTCTACAATTTGGCCATCTTTTAAAACAATTATTATGTCGGCATTCTGAATTGATTTCAAACGATGAGCGATCACGATGCAGGTCCGACCACGACGTGCTGCCTCCAGTGCTTCTTGTACCATCTAAATTTGAATTCATTGGAAACTTCAGAAAGATATGACCACTAAGTTAAGCAAAAACTTACTTAGACTAACTTCATTTTAGACTTCTAAAATGGAGCAATCGATGCAACAAAAATGCTTAAAACAACAAAATTTCTTCTTACACCATTTTTATTTTTGGGTCCAAAAGTGCTGGTGAAGCGATAATATCACGTAAAAAGGATGTGTTACCGTTTCGTTTTCACTATCCAAAGCGCTGGTAGCTTCATCAAGGATTAGTATCGTTGGATTTCTTATTATTGCTCTTGCAATTGCAATCCGTTGTTTCTGGCCACCGGACAGCTGACTTCCCTTCGAACCCACAATTGTGTCGTAACCCTAAAAACAATTTGAGCCCAGAATAAACTCGCTAATATCATAAAATGAAATTGAAATGCATTCCTGACTTGCTGCTTTGCAGAGATTAAAATTATGAGACATTTGACTAAGATTCGGATTAGATTAAAACTCTAAACTTTGATTAAATTCTTAGTTCTTTTCATGAAACACAGATATATCATTTAATATCAAAAGAAAAAACTTCACTCGACTTTGATATTTGATTTCTATGTCTAAAATAAACCTGCGGTAATGCAACAACAAAGCTGTGAATGTTGGCTAATTTCGCAGCTGTCTCAATTTGATCCTGCGATGCATCATCTAAACCATATGCAATGTTGTCTCGAATACTTATATTGAACAATGTTGGTTCTTGGTCGACCAGAGCAATGTGTGAACGAAGGTATCGAATATTGTAACTTTTGATATCTCGATCATCGATGAACTTTAATTTACTTGGAGTTGTATATAACCTTGAAATCCAAAATTTAGAGTATTTTCTAGCTTTTCATGGCTTACTTGAAGTCACCATATAATAATGCTACAGGTTGGAAAGGGAAAGGGTTGTGACGTCTTCGAAATCAATGGAAGATCTATTCTTTGCTATTAATATTGGGTATTGAGTGCATTTTCAGAAAATCTGTACAGTATTTTTGGACCAAGTCGAACAAAATTAGGAAGGTTTGATTTTCATTTTCGAACAAACACCACCCTAAGAGTGACGCAAAATTCACCAAAACGCCCTCAGTGACATCATAAAATCGTTCCAGCAATTTGATGACCGTACTTTTACCACATCCACTTGGTCCAACCAACGCTACCTTTTGACCGAACATTGCAGACATCGAAAAATTTCTGAGGACAGCATGTTGAGGAAGCATTGGATATGTGAAGCAAACATTTTTCAGGCAAATATTTCCTTTTATTGCCTAAAAAGAGAAAATTTGCAAAGATTTCTCTAAGAGAATAACCAACCATTTCTTGAATCTAAGAGAAGAAAATTCAAATGTAAGCCATTTCATTTGAGCGTTAGTTTGCGATACACACAGAATAAAATGTCCGATGTTTGACAAAAACATTCAAATCTTGGCTCTGACATTTTCACTTCCAGTTCTCTATAAATTTGGAACAAAAGTAAAGCATTACGGCTACTTATCGTTATTTGCAAAATTAGTTGCTGAAAAGTAGAGATCAGATAAAGATCAGAAACTCTTGCTTAATGATTAATTCAAAAGTTAAATACTATAATATTTCCCTCGAGTAAAAAAGACGCCGTTCACCATCAAATTGAAATTTTATTTCCCACTAATCCAGATTACAGTTCTTGATTAGAAAAATAGGAAGATAAACAAAATAAAAGACATCTTCACCTGTTGAATGCCCGCCTCGGATAAATTGTCTATAAGCGAGACCTGATTTTTGATATGGAATGCTAAATTCGTCGAAATACGAGCTCGAACGTATTCCGGGAGGAAGGATGTTGCCGCAAGTACAGTCAACGATGCCATATTCAGTGCTTCAATTACTCTATACAAATGAAATTAAAAATTTAACGACAACATAGTAAAATATCACTATTACAAAACGAAGCTAGCAACTTTCGCTTAATAAAATTTTTAGAAAAGACTATTCAGCAAGAGACATATACACATCAAATTCATGAGTTGAAAATGCTTAACAGATAAATTATACCATAGTTGGACCTGACGCAGTGCCGTCCGTATTTGCATAAATTGAAAAGAATGTTTTCTAATGACTTACTGGAAAACATTATATGGCTCAGACAATGAATTCCTCACTAGCCAAAGACCGAAAAGATAAGAAATGGCGAAGTTGAACTGCACGAAACAACTGGATAATGCATAAGTCAATGATTGCCAAAAACCTAGTGCATAAGTATAATTTAGAAATAACTAGTCGATTTAAGAAGAGAACTTGGAACTTAATCAGGTAGCTTCTAACACTTCATAAAATTTCATTCGAAATCCTAGAATTATATAAAATTATATATGCATTCAAAACTAGTTTCAACCACTTGCCTTTTGTTTTCTTAAATTCAGATACCAACTGCTAAAGTCAAAGATGTTTTCGAAAGCGCAGTCTCCCAATATTCATAACTGTCTAGATGTATTCATCGCATAGCATGACACATAAGAGTAAATCAAAAAAATAAATAATTTTAAAAAAAATGTTAATTGAGAAATTGATTGAAACCTCGAATAACGGCTCGTTTATGGGATTCCTGTAACGAAGAACAGTATGTTTCGTATATATTTTTTTGCTTAGTCAAATACTGCACAGTTCGGATATTTTCGATTGATTCGGAAGCTAACTGAAATTAGCCACCGTAAAATTAGGCCAGAAAGTGACGAATTTATTTCTTCAAATTAGCAGTAAAGCAACTTAAAAATCCAAAAATTTTGGCTATGCGAAAAGGAATCGAAAAAGCCACCAAAATGAAACAACAAGAAATAAGAAAACCTAATGAGTTGTTTAAACGACATTCTAGTCTTCTAGTCGTCCTAGCAGAAAAAAAACTTCGAAATTAGAATGATATCTTTCAGATTCCGGAATTATCATGAACTTCGTAACGCAAAAAAAAGAGAAGACTAACACTAGCAGTTTTTTCGGCTATTTTAGCATCCTTCTGACCACGAATTTTAAGATATTGCATGAGAATACTTTGCAAAATGACGAAGACAGTACAGTTAGTAATGCCAATACATGCCATCTTCCAACTAAACCAAAGTGCTACGACTACACCGGCGCAAAGTGAAGTGATTCCTTGTAGCACTTCCGCCAGTCGGTGATCGACTGCCTACGAATCAGATTTTCAAAAAGATTAGATTACATTCAGTTTTGTATGAATTGGAAAATTTCAGATTTCGATGGAATTAAATTTTCAAAGGATTCGAAAGTCAGGTGCTTCAATATTTTGGAATGCGATTTCGGAAAGTTTCCTTCCAATCGAGTGAATAAAATTTTAAACTTCGTCACCGATTTTCTGAAAAATTTTAGCATACAGCTTTGAAATTTTGCGCATCGGTTGCCAGACGTGTTGTTAATTTTCCAACTGAATGATATTCGCTATCGAAGAATGACAAATCCTGTCGCAAGATATTCTAAATAATAATCACATCAAAATTCACGCAGCAAGCAAATTAAATACTCATATCTTAATACAGTGCAAAATTAACTGTGAAAACTGCAATGCGAAGTTTCATTGACAGTTTTTCACCAGCAACACCGAACAGTGTGCCGGACAAAAATGTTGAGAATCCGCTCACGATACCCAAAATGAGATATAATATTGTATTGAGCAAAATATCTTCTGCCATTTTGTCCTTATCCAGTGAGGACAATGTCTGAAAGAACTAAAGGTTAGTTGATTATCAGTGGGCTGATTATTCAGCAATTAATTATTATGCGAAAATACGGCAGAAACATTTCTGAGGTGAATAAGTTTAGAAGTACCGTTCATTTTTGCTTTCTTTATTCAGAAGCCAAGAAATATCAAAGGCTGAAGTTGTCAGGAAAACTCCGAAAATCATAATGCAAATTTTCTACCGGATTATGGAAATTAAAACTACGTTCAATTATTATCGAAGGCAACGACAAGAAGTTTGTTAGTTGATCATATTACTTGCTTTTTGTATAACTCGTTTATCATTGCTTATCAATTCATCGTGTTATACACATACATATTTTATACCCTTTTTCTTGTTGTTAACTAGTAATATTGTGCAAGAACAATATTACCTCCCTAATAAATCTGTATCCCCGAGAAACGAGTTCAACAGAAAAACAATTTCCCAACAAATTTTTGGTGTCACGAGCCGGAATGTCGGACACTATAATCAAAAGTGCTCAACCGGCAAAGCAAAAGTTGGAGGATCTTCTCGACGAAGTAAAAACAATAGACCTAATGCCTCCTGATCAACATTTAGCGGTGGAGGAAAAGCAACAGCAATTCGAACTCAAGAAAAGGCTGTAGAGGAAAAAATAAGGCGTCTAAAACTCTATGTTGGTACACTCGGATCAATCAACGAAAAATGGCTGGAGAAACAAAAGAATGTGCAGAAAAGAAAGCAAAAAGAAGATAAATACGGGGATATGGTTGACGATGATAAAGGCCTTTTAAATTTAATAAATGATGGTCAAGAAGCTATTATAACTCTAGATATGTACAAGGATGAGTTTGAGGTAGCGGTATAGTGCCTACAGTAAAGCAAGATAAATAACGAACCATTTCAACAGAAGGACCTCTCCCAAATGTCTCAGCAGATAGTAAATTTGCCACAGTTACCACTATCAACATTCAGTGATGACCCGAAATTATGGAGAGAATTCTGGAGTAGTTTTGATGCTGCTGTGCATCTTCAAAAAATACCCCGTATTCAAAAATTAAATTACCTGATCTCGTGCTTCAAAGGAAATGCTCTACAAGCTGTCAAGGGCTATGATATTGCTCCAGAAAACTACGACGTCATAGGAAAAATTTTTTGAAAATTTATCTACTGCAAAAAAGTCTTTGTACAACGAGTTATACTCCATCAAAGGACATGATCGAGAGTGGAAAACAACCGTCGAAACTATGGGAAGAATACTTCGACAACTGGAAGCAATGGGTAAGTATTTGGAGCATTCTAGCATTGAAATTGTTATCGAAAGTAGATTGAAAAGTTGGATATTGGACAAACTTTACCAATAAAAAAAGGACCAAGAGTTCTGGTCAGTCATTAGACTCCGAAAATTCCTGCAAGAACTAGTCCAAAGAAGTGAGGAAATACAGAGAAGCCAGACCTCTAGTGGTGGGTACCAACGAAAATCAACCGAGTCGAAGTCGAATCACGACCGACGCAGTACTAGAGGAGAGATGTTTGCTTTGGCCGCAATCAAGCAGCCCAAGCCAAACGATAGTCGAAGGATCACAAACTCAAGGAAATATCCTAAAAGTGATAAAATACGAAGAGACCTTGTTCATTTTGCAACGGGGATCATTGGGATGACGAATGTCAAGTCTACCAGACAGCAAAGCGACGAATGGAGCGTTTGAAAACAATCGAGGCGTGCCTGAATTGCTTACAAAAAGGTCACATAGCAAAGGATTGCCAAAAACTAAAGAAATTATGCTTTCATTGCAAAGAAAGATATAATCATCACTGTTTTTGCTAGTAGCAACACTCAATCATTATCTAGAAACGATCGGAAGCCAGACAGCACTAGAGATCAAGAGAAATTTATATGTAGATAACGTCATGTTGTCAGCAAATGGAACAAGGGGAGCCATAAATAAATATCACGAAGTGAAGGATATCTTCAAGAAGGCGGCGATGAATATTCGCGAATTTCTATCCAATGACCAGAACTTCAATAAGGCAATACCGAAACAAGACAAAATCGAAGGAGGTGCAATAAAAATTCTTGGCATCACTTGAATAAACGATAAAGATACGATTAGAGTAACGCTAAAACCATGGATCGAACATGAATTCACCAAACAAAGTATCTTGCAATATGATCCTTTGGGATTTTTAGTCCCCATAATGATTCAGTTCAAACTATTCCTCCAAAACTTATGGAAAAGAAATAATTCTTGGGATCAAATCGTCGATAAAGATGATAAAGAAGCATGGCGATCTCTTACAAAGGAATGGCTCGCAGACATTATCGAGATACCGAGGTTAGCTACAAAAAAGCTCTCAGATCAACAACTCCATGTCTTCACGGACGCATCAAGTGTTGCGTATTCAGCAGTTGTATACATTTTAAACAAACATGTCGACGAAAGAAATAGCGCAATATTTTTCGCCAAATCAAGACTCGCTCCAATTAAAGGTATGATCATACCACGGCTGAAGCTGCTAGCAATACTTACTGGTGTACGAGCCGCCAACAAACAACTTTGTTATAAAGTAATTGAGTATGGAAAAAATCGCAGTGGTGTCATGGTCGAATTCGAAATGTGCATTACACTGGATACAAAATCGATCGAAATTACTACCCAAATTCATACAAAACCGAGTAAAAGAAATATGAAAGGTAAATTTTCATTTCGATATGTAC